CCAGCGCATGGGTAGCTTGAGTTAGCTCAGGAGATGACAGCCCTGGTCGGACACTCCCTGATTGCCTAAGCACCCTTTTCCAACCAGATTTGCATATCCCACATGCCCTTGGTCATCGTGCTTGTAGTAAGCGTGGTTAAAGCCCTTCCCAAATCTTCGCTCGCAAAGCCAAGCCATCAGTCAATCAATCATTTGTCAGGCTCTCAAAGCAAACAGAGGAAATGTTGATTTGGGAAACCCTGCTGATACCCATAGGGTAGCAGATTTATTGGCACTTGTGCCCAGGCACCATCCAAGGGAGGAGGAAGGAAGAAGTGCTACCTGGACAGGTGTCACTGACATTTCTGCTCTCTTCCCCCAGGACAATCATTTAAAGCAGTCACCTTCGCTTGATAGCTCATAAACTACCACTACTGGAGCTGGGCAGTGTGTCTGGACCAATAACACCTTGACAGACAATGTGATATTTTCAAGGAGAAAATGTTGTCAGTGTTGTCAGCTTGATTGTTTAACCTCCAACATTAGGGCAAAGAGGTTCATTTTGGATGATCCTTGGCACTAATATTCTTTCTTTGCTTCCCCCTCCCCATCATGTTGTTTTTCATTCTTTTTAAAGGGAATCCTGTTTGTGCTCTTCCTCGTTCACAGCTTACAAGCTGCTGCGTACCCTGGAAGAGGTGCAGTGAGTGCTTAAGAGCATATCTTTGATTTCCTCACTTCAACAGCAGTAAGAAAACATATGACAATAAGCACAGGCTTTGTTTTCAGCCCTTCCTCAGCTGCATGTACTGTGTAGTTCCTGGAAGAAAAAGCACTTGGATATATACAGGAACAAAAAATGATGCCAGTATTAATTTCACACTGTGCAGGTGTTCCTGCACTCACTGTGTGCAGGAGGCGTGAAACTGCAGCCCTTCCCCGAGACAACTGCTTATGTATACAGCAGAGCCACGCTAGAGACAAATGCTTTTTGAGATGGTGTTCACTGAGTTTCTCCTCTAAGGTGAACTCTGACAAGCCCCAGCTCCCCCCCCCCCCAACATCCTTTTATTGCTTTTAGACCAACTTTGAGATGGGGTGGAAGAAAGAGATCTGACAGAGGGAAGTTCCGAGGTCAGCGCTGCTCACCCCTCACTGTCATCCCACTGAGCTCACAAATTGGTGTTAACACCTCTTGGAAGAAACAACAAACATAAAAGGAGAACTTTGCCTGCCCTTGGAAGCATCCCTATTACTGGGGCAGCCGCTGCAGAGCCTGAGGCCAGCGGGGCTGCAAGTGCAGACAAAAACCAAAGCCTGTTCAGCCCTGCTGTGGTGTCCAGCCCCTGGCAGCATCCTGCCCAACTGCCAGAGCAAGGAGGAGAAAGCTGCTTTCTCAGGCAACTTATTTTCTTCAACCATCATAAAGCACTTATATGTTTTTTGTTCCACTGCTATTAGAAATCCATTTTTCCAGATTGATCCTGTTTCTTGTGTTTAAACAGCTCCTTATAACAGGTCCTCATGGTGTGGAAAAGAGAGTTAGGAGCCTTCGAGATGCACCTCCACCCCCTCCACCAACAATTCTCTTTCATGGGATTCATAAAATCTATTCTTGTTGTTGCAGATTGGCCACGGTGTGACTTTAGAGAAAATTCTTTTGATGTTGACACTGTTGCTTCATTGTTATTCCTCCTGTACCAGTGGAACAAAATGAAAAATTCATTAAAAATGGAGGGGAAAATAAAAAGGAAATCAAACCCACTGACATTTCTCTATCTCCTAGCACAAAAATCAAATGTAGAAGGTTGAAATCAGGGCAATGGGGAGAGTGGAGTGACAGGGTTAAATGTCTGAGGGACCATAGCCACATGCTTAGTGCCCTGACAAACATGCTGATTAAAACGACCTGTTACTTCTTTTACAGGGTCCCAGTAGCAAATCAGGGGTCACAGAGGGGTCTCACAGGAGGACTTGTTTTCTCAGGAGGTCTCAGCATGCAGAAATCCCTTGGATTTGGTCCAGGAGCTGTGGTGGCCCCATGGAGCTCCCAAGCAGTGTGCTTGGCTTTCAGCCCCTCTCTCCCAGTGCGGCAGGTCCCCATGCTCTCTCCTTCCTGCCAGGCTGGCACCCAGGTCCTAAATGGCCCCAGGTTCCCAAGGACATCACCTCCAGTCTGGTCTGCCCCATTTTTCCAAGCAGGGTAGCAGGGAGAGGACACGCCAAGGAGGAGATGTGGAAAACCAAGGCATGGACAGAGGCTGCTGGCAATGAGACCCCAGGACCAGCTCCTCCAGCATACAGCTCATGGGGTCCAAGCACCTCCTTATCTAGCAATGGTGTTGGTAATGGGGGGACTCTGCAGGCAGCTGTGCACAGCCCCATGTTGGCTTCTAGAGCCTGACTGAATTTCATGGTCTGCAGTCTCAAGGACACATTCTAGGGCCTGGAGGGACTGATCCTATCACAAGGCACAGACAAAGAGGAGCTCTGCTGTGCCCTGGAACCTTCCTCACCAGTGGGACCACAGCAAAACTGCTCTGTGTTGGTCCTTCAGCCTTAGGACCAGTGTGTGATTTCAGGGCAGACAGACCAATGTACTTGGAACAACAGGCCCCCAGATCAGAGGACCAGAGTTTCCCCCATCCAGCCTTTCCTGGAATGAGGTGGTCAAGGAGCATTGTCCTAGTGACAGAGGTGGGTGATAAGCATCGTCTAGTGGTCCCTTACACAGGATCCCACATCACCCCATTTACCTTGGGGCTGGCAAGGATTTTGGCATGGGCTCCTGGCATCCAAGTTGGGACATCCCAGTCTAGATGGGTGGCTCCAGGCAGGTTAGGGGTGGGTTGTACTCCACCTGGAGGCCAGTTACAAAGAGCAAGACATCCCGTTATAGAGGGAAAGACTCCACAGTGGGATTTTGTGGCTTTTCAATTCTCTTCCCAAACCTGCTGCAGGTTTGCTCTGTACCTGCAGCCCTTTATGCTGATGACAGCTCTCAACCTCCATCATTACCACCACATTACTTTTTCATTCCATTGAAGGGGACACTCCCAAACCTAACAGTCTAAACCTCTCTAAAAAATATAATTATGAAAGAAAAACTTTCCCAGGATTTCTACTCAGAAATGTCACAGGGGAAAATGATTCTTTTTGTGATCCAGAGACTTCAAAACATCCACACTGCAGGTCTCTGTGGGGCACCTTTCTTCAGGGTTATTAATAAGAAATAATCGCTTTAAATGCACAAAAGTATATGTACTTTCTATTCCCTTCCAAAAGCCCTGCATCGCTTGTCCTTAATGAATAATGAAAGATGCTTTTGTGTTACTTCCCACCCATAGACTTTCAAGTGATTGTTAAGCAATAAATAGGATTTTAAAGAAAATCAGGGTTTGATGAAAACTTAATTCTGGACTAATATGAGACGCACCTGCTTTGGCAGCGGCTTACTGGTGTTACTGGGGATTATTGTGTGAGAATTTGGGTCAATGAATGTCCCAACACTGGGAAAACATCACAAAATTGTTCTGAAATGCTACTGTGTAGCTCTAGGAATTAGAATATGGTGCCCTTTGATCTTCCTTCTGGAAGGAAACCTGGAGAACATCTCACCCAGGATATGCACTCTGACACCCTGGAGGCAGGACTGATTCACTGCCTCCCCTCACTCTGGGTGCTGATTTAGCGTGGGAAGCAAAACCCAAGGAGGAGATAGGTTTCTGAGGAGCAAGGGAACACAACATCCCATGCCAGACTGGGGTATGTGGATTTCAGTGGGAAAGCCAATGTATTCCACTGGGACACTGATGTGGTTTTGACTCTCAGCCCTTTTTTTGGAAGCTCACTCTGCAGGGGAAAAAATGAAGCTTGGAAGAGATGTGTGAGCTGCCCAAGGAAAATTAAGCTGAAATAACAGTTAATGCTTCAGGTTTGGCTTGGTGGGTACCCAGAGATCTTGCCTCCAGCCCAGGGTCAGTCAGGTCTTGATGCTGGCGAGAGTTCATCTCATTTAGAGATCTCCTACTACCGAACAACCCGGCCTTTGGAGGCATCTTCTGAGCACCTGATCCTCCCACCAGCCTCAGCAGGAGTGAGCACTCTGCTGGGTAGTTCTGTGTTAACTGAGCACTTAAACACCACCGTGGTTACGTTGGGATCAATGGAGAGTTCTCCGAGGGGATATTTGCCTCTGCCTTGATCCCCAGTTGATCACCTGCGCTAGGGCGAGATCTCAGGAGCGTTTGAACGGGGACATGCTGGAGCGTTGCAGCGAGAGGAGAGATGCTGCAGTAAATGTCCCAGTGACTGGAGCGTGCTGGGACCACACGTGGGTTCGTAGTTCAGCCGGTGCTGCCTTATTCCTTACAACATCTCCGCGTGGGTCTGTCCCAGGGCTGTTACCGTGTGAGCACCGAGTGAGGAAACGGCTTTAGGTAGGAAAAAGTCTGATTCCCGAGAGAACGGTTTCACTTCGTGAGCGCGGTGCGCAAACAGAGCAAGAGAAGCCGACCTGGAACCACTCCGTCACACAGAGCACCGGGGCCGGACGAGCGGCAGGGCTGGAGCTCCAGCGGCCGCCCCCAGAACCCGGCGCGGGCAGCGGGTAGGAGCCTGAGCCCAGCCCGAGGAGAACGGGGTTTGCTCAATAGAGGAGCGCGCTGGTTCCCACCGCGGGACCGGCACCGACCCCGCCACCCCCGGACCCGCCGCGCCCCGCCACCCCGCCCGGCTTGGACTGTTCCACCGCGCCGGCTGCCGAGCGAGAGGGGAGCGGGGAGGGGGCGCTGCCCTGTGCCGAGGCCCGGCAGCACGGCACGGTACGGTGCAGCCCCGAGGGACGGATGCGCTCAGGCAGCGCCGCGGCGGCACCGGGGAACGGGCACCGGCCACAGGCACATACTTCCCCCTCCTCCGGCGTTTGCTTCCCACCCCGCCGGCGCGGCGCTGTGGTACGGTCGGCGGGAAGGCGCTGGAGCGGCGGGGCGGTGCGCGGCACTGTGCCGGCGGCTCGCGCGGGGCCGGGGCCGGGGCCGGGGCTGGGCCGAGGCCGCTGTGCTGCGGCTCGGTACGTGTCGGTCCGCAGCGCTGCATCGGGACCCGGCACCCCGCTCGGGGAGCGCTTCCCTGCCGCGCACACCGCACCCCCCGGTGGACGGGGCTGCCTCTTGAGAGACGGAGCGAGCTTCCCCGGGGCTCCGCTGCCGGCGGGCAGTGAGTTATTGCCTTCTTTATTAATGTTTTACTGCAGTCTTCTCTTTTTTCCCCTGCTATTCCATGGATTTTCTTACGTGTGTTTTGCTGTTTGTGGGGGGTTTTCCTTTCTTTCTCCCCGTTTTCCCCTATTCGCTGGGAAGCGGGGAGGAAGCGCGAGGTTGGCCCTTGCGGGATGGGAAACTTCCGCGCTTGGAAGCGGCTGCCGGGTGAAATCCCGTCCCCGCCGCTGCCCCGGTGTGGAGCTGGCGGTGCCCGCTGGCTCGTAACGCGGGTCCCGGAGGAGTCGGTGCGGGGGTGTCGCGGGGGGACCGGAGCGATCGCGAGTTACTTGGTGTCTCTTGCGGAGCTGCTCGGGCCGGAGACGGGGGCGAACTGGTGGGACTGGTAGCACTGGTGGGACTGGTAGCACTGGTGGGACTGGTAGCACTGGTGGGACCGGCGCCGGAGCCCGAGGGCTCGGAGTACCCACGTCTGCTCCCCGGAGCGGTGGTGTTGAGCCCTGCGAGCTCAGTTTCTCAGCGTTTCACAATGTTTTCTGCCGCGAATACGTTCGGGTTGTCAATTTCTGTGTTTGAGGTGGTGGATGGAAGTCCCGTGTTTACTCCGGGCTGCTGTCACAATGCCATATGCCAAACCGTCAGGGTGGTCCTGCAGCTGAGTCCTTCTGTGATAACAGAGCATAGAGGCTGAGATAGAAATTGTGCCAACAGTGTGGATGTGCGCCTCTATTTTCCTGACTCTGCTGCCGAGTGTGAAGCTCAGATTTGTTTCCCAGCATGGGGAAGATTCGGGCAGTAAGGCTGAGCCAGGGAACAAGCCTGCACTGGCTTCGTGTTCCCCTGCTTTCCCACGTTCTCCAGTAGCTCTTCTCTGGGGTTGGAGTGGAGACTGGAATCAATAGCATCATGATTGACTTTGGCTTACTTTTGAGGCCAGAAAAGAAAAAGGACCCTTTTATTTCGTATTAAGGAAGTCCTTGTTGTCTTTCCCCTGCAGATAAATACCGTAAGGTATCGGTAGCTGATGCTAGTGTTTGACAGGGTGAGCAGTGTATGTCTGCCACTGCTGGTGGCTTTTGCTGGGCTGGCAGGGGCCATGTGAGCATCGGGGCTGGTATTTACTGTGGACCTCGTCGCCCAGGCTGAGCCTGTTTTCTCTGGCTCTGAGCAATGCTAGCCGTCATTTCGGGGGAGCAGTCATGGGGAGGAAGGTGTAGGCTTTGCTGCAGGACCTCTGGACCATCCCTGCTGCAAAGAGGAAACCTGCTGGCTTCTACAGGTGCTTCCACAACTGGTTTCTATTCCTCAGTTGAGAAGGGGGAAGTGGCAATTCCACTTGCATTTTGTCCCATCTTTTATTGTGTGATTTGCTCTGATTTATGCTCTTTGTGTTTAATTCTGTGCTAAAGGATAGGGAAACAGTTTGTTTTCTAGCAGCAGAGCTCTGGGATGAGGAGCCTGCACTGACGTGGTGCGAAGGATCTTCACGGGTGGTAAGGAACCTGTGTCATGAGCAAAACCTTGGGTTAAGCCACAGCAGTGTTGCTCTGTAGCATCCTTTTTGGGCTGCCTACTCTCAGTGACAGCTTGTCACAAGGTTTATCGCTCACATTCCTGGGAGCCTTTTTATGACCCTTGTTTTTGGTGAGCACCATTTGGATCAGCTGTGTGTGATACCCTTCTTCAGGATGTAAAGACAGACACTCATTTAGCTCACTGTGCTGTGCCGTGAAGGATTGCGGTATTCTGCTTGTGTCAAGCCTAATGTTGCAGATGGGCTTCAGGGGAATGGCAAAGCAGAAGAAGGTGGGTCTCTTAAGAACCACTTTCTTTAGAAAAGGCAGATAATAGGCAGCAAGTTCTGGAAGGATGTTTTATTTGGGGATTGTAAAGAGAGGCTTAGAGCTCTTGCCAGTAAACAGTTTATGTGGCATAAGTGAAGAGACTTGATCACTCAGAAAAATAACTCTAACACATTCCCAGTGCCAAGAGAGCTTTCGGCTATCATTGTCCCGAATTATCAATAAAAGCAACAGAACTTTTGATTTGAGTTCTTTATTGATGGCTGCATAAGAAGTTTTCAGACCTAGATGTAAACTTGCATCTACTCAAAGAAAATGGCCTATGGATATAAAAAGCTTTGATATGCTAAAAGTACTGCAGAGTTATCCAAGATGTTAATTATGGATATTAGAAATAGCTCTGTTTGAAGAGATTTGCAGCTTTTCCTTCCTTGTCCCCTCCCATTAAGTTACTGTCTTGCCCAGCACAGGTTTGTATCCTTGTATTTGAAGAAACACAGAGGTATTGATTGCAGAATTGCTTAAGTGAAGAGGGGAAAAGAAACAAGAATCATATTTGGAGCCCAAGTTTTGATTCCAAAATGAGCTGCTCATTCTTTTCACAGCTTGAGGTTTGTGGTGGAAAGGTTGAAAACACCCAGCAAGAAAAGCATGCTAGAAAAAAATCTGAAACAAGCTAAACAGAGTGAAATTCAGGATGAACTGTCATCAGAGTGTTTATAAACCTACTGGAGAAAAGGGAGGGGGGAAGCGTTTGGATCAATAACAAGTTCCTTTTTATAACTGTAGCTCTTTAATCATATAGCTTAAAAAAAAATCCCCAGTCCTAAATGTGTGCTTTTTGTACCTGTGTTGATAGCTGAGGCTAAATCTGCAGCGTTCATGCTGATGTGGGTAATCTGAATCAAGCTGAATAGTAAAGAGGCTCTTAGGAGAATCTGAAACCCGGGAGGCATTTTTCAGACCTGAGTTATGTCACTTTTTTTAGAGGTGCCTCAGGCAACTGCATTTTAAGAAGACAAAGCTTTTGTTTTCAAGCTGGCCTAGAAAAAATGCCAAGGATGAATCCCAAATAAAGGCTTTCAGAAGTTGTCATTTGTGATTAAGTTGATTTTGCTGTTGTGCACAGAATGCTGCCGCCTTCCTCAGCGTGGTGTCAACTCTGTCCGTTTTTATTTTTGCCATCAGTCCTGGCCTATCTGTTTAATTCAAGTGAATAATTTTACATGGTGGTTCTCACCTGAAAGTGTGTATTTAATGGGGGGGTCAGATGTCTGCTAGCTCCATCATCCCAACATAAAATTAATTGTATGTGCTTTGCCAAAGGCAGAATTGAGGTGACACCAGGGCAGAGATTGACTCCGACCCTGCGTTTTGCAGAATTAACATCTGCTTGCAAGTGTCTAGTTTTGCATTTAAGCTGCTGGAATTATCAAAGCCACGGCTTGTAACGCTGAGCAAAGACTGTTTTCCTCTGCATCTCTTAGGAAATCCTCAGCTCGATGCATGCAAATGGTGAATCTAAAGCTTTTCTTGTGGCTTCTCATGTTTCTTGTGGCTTAAAACAATCAGAAATAGTATCCTGTTGTTGCCAGGGTGTGGGCAAACAAGAGAAGCTACTCCTGTGGAGCCTGAGATGGGAGATAGTGTGCATGATACAACAGATGATGCTGAAGCAGGGATGTGGAAGAGTATATTGCCTGCAATCTATAGTTTTGTAAGCTCCCAGTGAGGTCCTCCTTGCTTAAGGAAGGTGGAATAGTGGGAGTATTGTAATGACTTCCTTTTCTTGGACAAAACAAGAGCAATTTTTGTCTTAAAATCTGACCACCATAAAGCAGCATTGATGTTACTAACGACGACTGAAGCTGTGTCGCCTGGGCAGGAGGTATCCCTGGGGTTAACCTCCCCCTGAGAGACAACTGCTTTCTGTGGCTGTGCCTGGCTTTGTTCTGGATATCCAGGGAAAGGCTATAAGGGCAGCGTGAGTCATCTTTTTGGCTCTTGTGTAACACTGTTCAACACAAACAATCCTGTTTGTTCTGCTTATTGAGGTCTCTTCTATCTTCCAACATGAGGATGTAGATGCACAGTCTCCAGGGGACCTGCTGGGCTGTTGAGGCTGTTCCAGAGTCAATCTGGCACCTAATAATGATGCTATCTTTTTTAAATAGCAGACCTTAAGAATATATTGAAACCAGATACTGACATAGAGCAAGATGTGCCAAACTCAGTTTCAGGAGCACTGCTACAGGGTATTTCCTTTACTGACCATCCATTTGTAGCCTTTGCCAGTGATACTGCACTCTCCTTTTTTTTTTTTTTTTCCCAAAATATGGTTTTAAAATAGAAAACATAACCCCTTCTCTTTCCTCTAAGAAAACAAGAATGATGTAAACAGCATAGGCACCTCTCGACTACATCTGTGTGAATTCATTGATTCCCTGGTGAAGTCTGCAGCATCATCTGAAGGTGGTGTGTGATGGTCCTGAACAATAGGCACTGAGAAGTGCCGTAGCTTTATCTGATGCTTTTCCAAGCAGCTTTTATTTCTACATACACAGCCACAGTGGGAATGAATGTGAGCTTATCTTCTGACTGCTGTTACAAGCAGAGGAAGAATGGTGAGGCACGATGTATGAGCAGGAGCAATAACTGGGGCAGTGCAGCTCCAGCTCCTGCTGTGTCAGGATTAAGTGCCTCCTGCTGCGTCCCAGCTTCCTTGGAAGGAGAACATCCTTCCATGTGGGGGTCTGCCTGCGGTGAGAGTTCCTGAACATGGATATAGGGAAGACAGTTTCTGCTGGAGAAGATAGTGTGGAAACGATGGCAGTGGACACTTGTTCTGGAAGCTGGGAATAGATCCATGGCATTATTCATGTTAATGCATGAATTCCTGAGCTCAGGACTAGGCAGGCAGAGGACATAAGGTGGATAGAGGTGGCAGTTTCAGATGTTCCCCTCCTGAGCTCTTGATGTCTTTACTAGGCTGAATCTCATGCCTTTCTTCTGCCTTCATTTGTGGGAAAAATGCTTCCTCTAGAAGGATATGGGGAGCACTGGTTCTGCCTGCCCTCCTGCACAGGGAGAGAGTACCTCTGCTTGGAGGTGTGAGGGGGCTGAACTCAACTTGTGGATGAAAGTCAGTGTCTGGGAAAGATACGGATGATCTAGTGCTCCAGTGAAGAGTTTTGGA